GGTGACTTTTCCCTGGATGGAGCTGAGTCTGGCAGGTCACTTCACCGTTAAGTTCTTGTGACCTGCTAAATGACTCGTTTTATTCCAAGGCCTGGGTGGAGCTTTGTCGGTATCCAAGATGGAGATCACCGGTGCTGGGGGGTGAGGGGTGGCCTTCCCTCCTCTGCTCCCTGAGAAGGAGTGAGGAGGTCGGGCTTCTACTCACGCCGATTCTTGGATCCTGGGTCGTCTCTGGTCTGCAAACTGCAGGATGAGATGTCCGCTCCTTGTTGGTTCTTGCTGGTTGAGTAGAATCCGCTCGCCCGCTGCGTCTGGCTCCTTCGTCCCAGACTCTCTGTGTGAGCGCTCAGGTATGGCCCCGGCTGCGGTCTCTACCGCGACCCTGCCGCCGCGCTGCGGCGGCTGCTGGCAAGCGCTCAGATGTGTCTTTTTTGCCTTGGCTTCCCTCTCTTGTCTAACTCTCTGTCCTGTGATGGCACACTTGGTGTGATTCTCTGGCTTAGGACTGTTCACTGGAACTCTAAAACTGCTTTCTATGCGAGAGCTTGTTCAGATTCCAGCTTCTCCTCCGCCATCTTCCCGGAACCCCTCCCAAGGTTTATTTTATTTGAGACTCAATCTTGCTCTTCTCTCCCCCCCCCTTTACTCCCTTAAGTTTTCCTTCCTAATAAATCACATGTGGCTGAATCCTGTTTTAGGCTCTGTTTCTAGGTCTCTTGACCTGAGATAGTTTGTACCAGATTGTTTTCTGAATGAAATAGATACCTATGTTGTAATTCTGGAGATGAATAATTTCACCTATTCAGCTGGCAATGAGGATCCCCATGTGTAATCTGTACCTGTGATCTCTGGCAAGAAGTAGTGGTGTAATTGCTGAAGCTTATGCAAATTAGGACAGGCTACGGAAGAAAGCCTTGGCTTATGAAGTATTTCTGGCACTGAAAGATATAGAAGAACCATAACCAAAAGGATGATTATCGTTCAATACCTTTGATGAAGTAGAAAAAAAATACAGGCTAGGACAATCCATCACTCATTTAAAGCATAATGTGGGAATCAGAAGGTCATCTTGGAGCATATTTAAAGAAATTCTCACCTTCTTTTGTGAGAAGGACGGAAGAGCTAAAGACTAGTCCTAGAGTCCCTAGAGAAGGCTGATTTCCAAACCTAGGTAAATAATCTATGCCAACCCCAGGACCTCAGAGGGAAGCAGTGGGATCTTGAGACAGAATGAAACCCTCAGGTTCTCCTCAGTGCTCGTAGGCTGTCCTTCTTGAGAAATAGAGCCTATTGCTCCACAATTGAATACAATGCAGGACCCTCAAATGCAGACAATACATGTGCCTCATGATAAAATACAAGCTTTCCTTAGGATCTGCCTGGACTGTCTCTCCTGACCACATGCTCAGTAATTAGGGTCAAAGCTTAGCATGATCCAAAAGGGAAGTGCTGGATCTTGGAGAAAGATCAACACAAAAGGAGTTGCAAGAGCTGGCTCACTCATATCATGAGCATCTAGAAGAGAATGTCTAAGTGTGGAACTGAATGAGCAGAATATGAAACTGGATAAGGGGGAGTCTGTTGATTTGAAGCCACCTGGGATCTAAGATTTTACAGCCTGGCAAGGGCTCTGGGTGTAGCTATTGGAAATGCAACAAAAGTCATGGCCCAGAACAAGTGAAGCAGAGATGCCAGAATTTCTGGAGCAGGTTATGGAGGAAGAGAAGCAAGACTCATTGAAGTACGTGTGCTATAGTAGATCTAAGCTTAATGCAAGACCAGAAAGCCACTAGCTATGTTCCTAGTGGGGGTGCTGAAAGGCTCTTCACTTACCAAAACAATAAGAAATGAACTGGGAAGAGTGGTACCAGATCTCTGAGAAGCTGAGTATGGACTATCTCTATAGTCTGGTAAGATAAACAGTTACAAACTGAGTTCCTTATTAGGACTGTGGATGACAGAAAAGGCTGGGTAGCAGCATTTAACTCTCAAAAGCAAGATGGGTTTAATAATTATAATGGGCAGCAAGGCTGGAATAGAAGACAAGGGGACATGGGCTGGGAAGGTGGCTCAGTGGTAGAGCGCTTGCCTTGTATGCCTGAGGCCCTGGGTTGGATTCCTCAGCACCACATAAGCAAAAAAAAAAAGAAAAAAGCTGGAAGTGGTACTGTGGCTCAAGTGGTAGAGCACTAGCCTTGAGCTGAAGAGCTGAAGGACAGCTCCCAGGCCCAGAGTTCAGACCCTACGACCAGACCCCCCCCCAAAAAAAAAGAAGACAGGACCCACAGGAATCTTTTAAATAAATGACCAATAAATGATTAATCTTGCTCTTTCTAGGAGCAAAACAGAAAAGCACTTACTAAAGATATTGTTTAATGTATATATTTAAAAATGAGCAAGAAAGAACCAGCAGAAGGCCAGCTCTTCCAGGGGAAAGACATGATCCTTCTTTGAGTTTTTAGATTTGATCTACTCCTCAGTTCACTAAAGGTTCACCAAAATCTCACATCCAGGGAATCTAACTGGACACTGACCACACAGCCCTATATCAAATAGAAATTCTCACAAAATTATAACTTATTATGTAGTCTTCAATTACACTAAACCAATCCACAGCATTGATTGTGTGGCCTACTTACTAATAGGCCTGATCTGCAGAGTGACCCATGGGGCCTGGAGATAAAAATAACTAATTACGACAGGGTGGGAGAATATTGGAAAAAGAAACATCTGAATTGGCCTAAAGGGATGAGGAGAGTTTCTATCTCAGTGACACCCAGGTGGTATCTTCAGGCAAGAGGCAGAAAGTATACCCTGGAAGCACAGAGTGGGTTTTCTTGAGTGGATCAGAATCACCTGGTGCCTGGCATACATAGGTTTCTTAGCCAGCCCAGATTTCCTGATATAGCATCTCTGGGATTGTTTCATACAAACTCCCTCCTGGGAACACTTGTGCACAGTATAACTTGAGGATCTGGGATCAGTGCCCCAGGGTCAAGGGGAAAGGAGAGGTGTCGCAACTTGTCTCTCCTCTTTCAAGGGGCCTACAGGTCAATGACAGCTACTTCCAGCCCAGAGTCAGAGAAGGCTTCATAGGGATGTAGGCTGGGGATAGCAACAGGTAGGAGAATACAAAGTCATCACAATTGGTGCACAGGGACTGGGCAGGGGAACAATCCCACAAAGTGTTCCTTGACGTTCTTAGGTGAATCTTCACCCTTCATCTGAAGCCTATGCGGCACTGTACACAGCTCCTTGCTGTATTTAGCTCTTTCTGCTTCATGCCATGTCTGTGACCATGTTTCAGCAATCTCAGAGGCATGCTCACGACCAAAAATTTCCTGATGGGGGAGCTAGATGATTCTTGTGCAGTTACTTTGTCTCCATTACTTTATCCACTCAATAAAGACTTTTCTTGGTTGGTCGTGGGGCTTGAACTCTGGGCCTGGGTGCTGTCCCTGCACTCTTCAGCTCAAGGTGAGTGCTCTACCACTTGAGCTACAGCACCACTTCCAGTTTTTTTCTGGTGGTTAATTGGAGATAAGAGTCTCATGAACTTTCCTGCCCCGGATGGCTTTGAACCGCAATCCTCAGATCTCAGTCTCCTGAGTAGATCGGATTACAGGCATGAGCCACTGGTGCTAGGCTTCAATAAAGACTCTTATACTGGGGCTGGGAAGGTGGCTCAGTGGTAGAGCGCTTGCCTCACATGCATGAGGCCCTGGATTCGATTCCTCAGCACCACATAAGCAGAAAAACCTGGAAGTGGCGCTGTGGCTCAAGTGGTAGAGTGCTAGCCTTGAGCTGAAGAGCTGAGGGACAGTGCCCAGGCCCAGAGTTCAGGCCCCACCACCACCACCAAAAAAAGAAAAAGACTCTTATATGTAAGGGGACTGACGGATGTGCTGTGTCTGTGAACCAGACAGTCCTTGTCCACTTTCCTTTGCTTCTCTAGCAGAACCATTTGTACATGTGCACAGGGAAATGCTCCACTCTCTGTGTAATGATTGAAGGAATGAATGAGCATATAGATGGACATTGGCCTTGACTTTGAGTGAATAGTAGTTGGATGGCCATAAGTTCTTTGGGCTTTTGAAGCCTTTGGAGGAGGGGTCCCTGAAGAGGTGGCATCATTTTGGCTCTCACACTGGCACTTCCTAACTGTAACCATCTTGGTGTCTGGGGCACAGACACAACAGCACCCTAAAGCACAGTTAGGAGGAACACCCCTCAGCACTTCACATCTCCTTGTTAAGATGAGTTGCTAATGCCTGGATTTACCAATACTCTAGAACCCAGCTTTCTAGAACAACTTTGTTCTGAACAGAAATAAAGCTAGTAGAGTTTTTCTCAAAAGGTCCCATTACTCTGAGCTTGGTTGTAAACACCTTCCCTCCATTTCTATTTATGAAGACAGGGCTTACAGGAAATGAGGACTTGAGGGGCCAGCCCTAGGGTACATGACTAGTTTTATTGGTGGCTAATAACAATGGTCATTAAGAAATGGCTTTACCTTATTCTGCTCATCAGCACGTAGGCTTTGCTTCTGATTTTTGTTCAGTATTATATTTCCTCTGTCCATTGTGAAATCATTTCCTTGTTGCTGGAAATACACATCACACGTTGGCAAAGCTGTTGCTAATATCTTAAAAAGAACAAAGATGATAAGTTAGCTAATCATAAAAGGAATCAATCATTCTATAGTACAAGAGTTTCAGATCACACTATCACTTAAAAAGTAATTATAGTTCTTATTTAATAATCTCAGGAATAGTAGATAGAAATTTCATCAAGTGCAAGCTGTAGCCTAAAGAAGAAATACTGAAAATGGGGACTGATGGATATCCCTTTTCCCATAAACATGGATATGACCTTAATATTATGAGAATCTGGTAATCTTCCAGAAATCAATCTAATCATTACAAACACAGTAAAATATCATTTGAAGTGGTACTAAAGACAAAATTATTTATAATATATTTTATGATTTTTTTCTCTTTTTCCTTGTCAAGGTAATGTACAGAGGGGTTACAGTTACATAAGTAAGGTAATAAGTACATTTCTTGTCAAACTTGTTACCCCTTCCCTCTTTTTTTCTATTTTTCTCCATGACCTATATTCTGTTGAATTCTGCTATCAGCTCTCTGTTTGGCTATGTTTATACCCCTTTTCATTCACAAAGCTAAGTAAATCCTAAGGATTCAATTTCAGATTCTGTAGGTATAGTCACTTAAAAGTTTTAAAAACTTGCCATTGTAAAATGACATTTTGAAATAAAGCCAAATGGGAAAGTAAAAAAAAAAGTCTTGGGAAGAGCTATGCCCATATGTGTGTGTATATGCACCACACATATGTAACATGTTATATGCAACATTCATATATGTAATATCTATATAACACCGGGAGTTTACAGCCCTGAGGTCAACTATGATCTGCTTGGAGACTCCATTTGTCCCATGGTTTACTATTCAGACCCTCAGCCATGTTCTTTCTCTCTCTCTCTTTCATTTTGTTGGTCATGGGGCTTGAACTCAGGGCCTGGGTGCTGTTTTGAGTGTTTTTTGTTCAAGGCTAGTGCTCTACCACTTTGAACCATAATGGGACTTCTGGTTTTCTGGTAGTTAAGTGGAGATAAGAGTATGATAGACTTTTCTGCCTGGGCTGGCTTTAAACTGGGATCCTCAGATCTCAACCTCCTGAGTAACTAGGATTACAGGCCTGAGCCACCAGCGCCTAGCCAGCCATGTTCTCTCATCAGTTCCTGTAGCTTCCTCTATGATGAGGAAGCTTTGGCAATGCCATTGTGGGATTATGTCTATTTGCATTTTTGCTTTCCTTCATGAATTGTACTCATCTTGCCACAAAATTATAAACTATTCTATTTATATTACATGTAAAACACATATTACGGAATTAACATTAATTCTATATTACACTTTATTCAACTCTATATTATATCAAACAGTCAATATTGGCTTTAGACGTGTTTTCCCCACATGTAGAATGGTGACCCAGACCCCACTCTTTTCTTTCAAGACATTTCTGAAATCAAGTAAACAATGCTTCCTGAAATGCACAGAAATCATCTGTGGGCTCTTGTTAACATGTAGTCCTGACTCAATAGTCTAGAATATATGTGAGCCTCTAATGAACTCCCATGTGATGCCAATATTTTAGGCTGCAGAGTACATTTTGAGTAGCAAGGATACACATATACATATGCAGTTACTCTTTTAAAGATTCACCAAGAAAGTTGATTTTATTTCTTCTTAATTCTCCAATTAGACTACTAAAAGAATTATCTGTAAGATTCAGTTGGGTTTATATACTCCATTTATGTATTTATATTTCCATCTCTGATCATTGTCTTCTCTCTACTCCCTCTAAACTTAAACCTTATTCCTCCTGTGTAGACTATTGCAGACCAACCTGGCCTTCTCTTCTGCTAAACAGTTTGCAGGAACATTGAGGACATTTTCTTCACATCATTTTCTTGTTAATAAAGCTTCAATGAGTTCTCATTGTCCAGATAATAAACTTTAGTCTCTAAACTTATTAGGAGTGTTCTTAGTTCCAGGTTTTCTTCCTTATTTTAACTCCCTGATCTATTTGTTGGTATACCTGTATTGATTATATTCTGAGATGTTATTTATAACTTTCTCTGGATGGAATGTCTTCTCATCTATTCTACAACTGAAATTACTTTGCTTTCAGGACTCAGACCAATAAATCTACTGATGCAGGAAGCCTATTTACAAGGGATCCCTCATGGTGCCGAAGTCCTAATATACTTACAGACTATTGCTCTGACCCATCTTGAGCCATTTACAGAAAGGTACTGTCTAGGAAGGGATAGGAAGGGTAAACAAAGGAGGAGGCTGCAATGCTTGATAAGAAATGTACTTATTATCTTGCCCATGTAATTGTAACCCCTCTGTACAGTATGTTCACAAAAAATAAAAATAAAAATTAAAAAAAATTGATAGGGCGAGGCACCCTTAAGAATCCTTTAACTGAGAACTCAGCAATAAGCACATGGGTAGGCAACATTTTAATGAGTTAAGGGTAAGAGATTTGGAACCAGATGTACCAGTGTTTCTGTTCAGGACCCACTGTCTACTGCGTGCATGTCTTTGTCTAAGTTACTTCACCTTCCTAGGGCCCACTCCCATCTAGAAATTAGAGATGATAATTTTCAGATTAATGAGAGAATTAAGTGAGGTGATATATATAAAATGTGAAACAGTGCATTACACTAATGAAAGTGTTTTTTATTTCCCTTTCTCTTTCTTTTGTGCTAGTGCTGGAGAGAGATTCCAGGAAATGACTTGGGACTGGAACTAGAAGGAGTTCCCCTGTTTTATCTAAATCCTTTCTTCTTCAGAACTGACTTTCACATGCTTTTCCTCCTTACAGATTTTCACCCTTTCCATTCCTGTATTTCTATCTATGGCTGAAGTTACACTCTTAAGAACTTCATAAACTTTACTCATTATTCAGAAACTCAGAAACTCCCTACTATGTGTCAGGCAACGTGTTAAGGCATTTTGTCCACTAGATAAAATGTGTTTAGTATCCTTGAGGAGACAAGGAAGTAGATACTCCAAAAACACATTTTATCTGGTGGATGCCTGGAAAGAGCAAAGGCCACGTCCATATCATCACAATTTGATCTAATTAGCATTTATGTGCCAGCAAGAGAATACAAAGAAACAAAATGCAGAGTCTGTTCTTGGCATTTATGTAATCTGCATTTTCCTTGCTATAATACTACTCTGATTGACATCTGTGGGCAAAAGCATTCTGTGCTGGGAACTTAACCACTATGTCAAGTGTGTGCTGTGTATATTTACTGATGTGCCATCACATGAAGTCTGTGGAGAGAAAAAATGAAATACAAACCAAAGGTGCAAGTCCTTGGAGAGGTGAAGCTTCCTCTGCCTCATAGAGATAGAAATTCAAAGGAGCAAAGAAATAACCTGGGGCAGGTTCCGTGCATCTGCGGCCAGTGACGTGTGGGCGGCAATCACACTGCCCATCTTTGGGTGAGCACCTGAGGGAGAGAATCCATTGACAAGACACATGGAGGAGCCGGTGTAGGGTACTAGGTTAAGTGCCCCCCTGAGTTTGGACCAATTACCAATAGTCTTGCGGAAGAGTACTGTGAGCCCACGGGCTCTATCTGACTGAACCTGAAAGCCAAGTTCAGATTTAGGGAACTTCTTTCCTCTGTGACTCCTGGTTGTTCTGCTCTGAAGCCTGGAAAATAGAGTGTCAGGACCTTTCTTCTCAGGATGGCACAGGGTTAGTGATTTAGGCAGGTTGGGTCATGTGTTTCAGACATTCGTCCCATAACCTCTTGGGACACCTAGGCAGAAAGAGTGTGTCTCCCCGGTGGAGATAGGAGCTAAATAAATCAAATGGGCTTCAGTGAACACCTTGAGGTCATTGCTTTCCCAAACCCTTCACCTGAAACAGAAAAAAGCTTTTACCTATGACTATGGGCAGATCAGACCAGAATGTGCTTCCATGGGGGGGAAAAGGAACAGTGCTATAAAGCATCACTCCTCATTTGACTTACGTGTTGGAATAAGCACCTCCAATAGCACAGTCACAGGGAGCACAGCCATGGAGATGGTCGCCTGGGCCCCAGGATCCAGCCTACAGAAAGAAACTGCTCATTGAGTCCAACTGTAAAGATCTCTGCTGTTCTGAAGTGTCATACTGAAACCACTACAGTGAGCCACACATCGAGACCCACCCTGCAGTAACCATCCTTGCCTGCACACTTGGGAATGGTCTCCATGGTCATAGTATTCCCATCTCCAGGGCTTTGGATGAAAGAGAACAGAAGGAAGGCCCATGCACGACTTCAAGAGGGACAAGATGGAAATCAATAATTCCTCAGACCACGCTGCTTTTTGCTCAAGCTGGGTCATTTGAGGCCTCTCTGGAAAAAATTCTTACCACCCTATTTACAATTGTTTTAATAAAACCATGGTTCCTTTACCACAGTAATGCCTGGAGATTTACTCATGCCACACTGAAATGGTGGAGTTGAAGAATCAGTTGAGCTGGTTCTAAGATAACCAAAGATGATCACAGTTCTGTAAAGACAGTTATTCACAAACCCGTTGTGAACAGGAGTGAGAGTTAGCTCTGTGGTTCAATGCTTTTCATTATTGCAACATCTTGACCTTTATGCAATATAAACAGCTGGTGAGACACAAACAACTACTTCTTAAAAACTCTGATAGCATTTACTATAAAATGCTCACAAGGATACTTCCCCAGGAAATTTTAATTTAGCATGTTCAGATAAAAAGCATGAGTTTAGTAGGCAAGAAATTCTCATTTGAAAAGGTCTGAAATGTTCATATTTTTTTGTTACCTTGGTAAGTTCTTGTCCAAGTTGTCTCAAAAGTTCTTTTTAAGTATTAAACACTGACATAATGAGTAGGAAACACAGTAAAGGATTTCTGATATTTCCCCCCTCCAAAACCAAACCTTGGTTTAAGAAAAAAACAAAAAACAAAAAAGTGAACTGAACTGCCTGTGTCAAGATGTGACATGGAAAGTCTTGTCCAGGACAAAGAATTCTTGCCTCGTCAGTCATTCAGCTATAAATGACTATGGTCCCTGGTGGCTGCTTGGGCTTGTCTAGGCTGGACAATCATCCTGAAGTGGCCCCTGCTCAGTTATTTTCTTCCTGCAAACATGACAGTCTGTGATGCATGCTTGACAATTAACCCCCTGGTAAACTCCAGCCTGAGTCTAACGTTTGCCTGGGGGTGGTCTGATTTGGTGTCTCCAGCAATCCTGTTATCCAGAAGTGTGTCCTTCTTTGTGCTGTACATTTATGACCCCTGAAACTGATGAGGGTGAGCTTTCTCTTTTTATAAAAAATGTTTAAATTACCTGACCTGTCTGGCACAGAGTCCCTACCTCCTTCTAATATGTTTTTCAGGAAAATGACTTAAAATATTAGCCCCGAAAGATTTCTTCATAGGCATATGTTTCTTATTTATCAGCCCCATTTCTTCAGACACATCAAGGTCACTGTTCTTTTATTAGGTTAAGTTTTTGTTTTTCTCTGTCTAAAATGTCATGGTGGGCTGCCAAGACTGGAGAACAAAGAAAAGATCTGAGCTTGAACTGCTCAATTGTATGACATATTTCTTATGGAGTAAAAATGGTTTATATTACTAATTTTAGAATATACATACTCATGTTTAATGATGCCTGAGAAAAATCCAAAAGTTCATTTCCCACAGGAATCTAGAATACATTTTTTGTTGTTGTTGTTATTGGTCGTGGGGCTTGAACTCTGGGCCTGAGCACTGTCCCTCAGCTCTTCAGCTCAAGGCAAGCGCTCTATCACTTGAGCTACAGCACCACTTCCGGTTTTCTGGTGGTTTATTGGAGATAAGAGTCTCATGGACTTTCTTGCCCAGGCTGGCTTTGAACTGTGATTCTCAGATCTGAGCCTCCTGAGTAGTTAGGATTACAGGCATTAGCCACTGGTGCCCAGCTTATAGAAGACATTTAAACCCAAGTTGTTACTGCTTGTTGATTTTTTTAAAGAGCTCATTTAAAATATTTTTAGGTAGAGGGTATTAAGAGGCAGACATGGTAAGAGGATATGTGGATAAACTAAAAGAAAGATTGTCTCATCTTGTTGTCGATGCCTGGCATTCTCAGGAGAACAATGGATAAAACCATTGACATCCCTGCTGGGTCAGTTCAGTCTGCTGGTAAATATTTAACAACTAGATCTCTACAGGAGCTAAGGGTAAGGATCAGGGTGGAGGCCGATGGACAGTGTACCAATTTCTATAGGATAAAGACTCTCACCATAGGACTAGTGAAATATCATAGAACAAGGAGTAGAATTAACAAGACCAAGGCCTTTCTGAGCATGACCACCAGAATTCATCATTGTATAAAAGGAAACTCGTAGACAAATACATACAGTGCATTCTTCACAGCGTGGCCCTGTGGTATAGGCCCGGCAAAAGCATTGGCCTGTATCCATATCACAGGTCGAAAATGGAAGACTCCCAAGGGGGTGACAGCCGCAGGCTAAAAACAGAACATATACAAATATTCTCATTTTTCATTTCTCCACTCTTGCGAATGTCTTTAACAGCTCACACTGAGCAAAATGAATGGCCACAAGAACACACAGCAGCCTGCTCTGCCAGGTTATTGTGTATAGTATGATACATGATTATCATACTACATTAACCCCACAGTGGCAATCCCCGGCCAGATACTTGCAAATTCTTATGTAGTTCTATTGGATGGCAATGGGGAGGAACCATGTCAGCACAAGCTGGAATGCTGACAGTTATTCCGAGTGCTTCCAGGCGGGTGATTCAGGGAATATCATGTTTATGACTCAGTTTCCAGCCATTATGGTTATCACTGACAGAAGCCTCTCTGGCAGATGTACACACCCCTCTCCCCCTCACATACATGTGCATGCTCTCTCTCTCTCTCTCTCTCTTTTTCTTTCTCTCTCTCTCCTCTCATTCTTACTGCTTCATTATTATTATTATTATTATTACTATTTTTTTACTTCATTCCTGTTTCTCCACCCATAGTCATTTCTCAGTCCTGCTTACAGTTGTGGAGACTCAAGAAGTTATGCAAGCTGTTATTTTCCCCTGCAGGAAAACTGGGTGTTCAAGAAAGCAAGCCAAATGGTCATCAGCTGATGGATAGGCCTGCCAAACCTGGTACATCCATCCAACGGAATGTTGTTTAGCCAACACACAAAAAATACAGATAAAGCAATACTTGCTATAACATGGGCAAACCTTGAAAACATTGTAAGTAAAAGAAGCCAATCAAAAAAGACCACATTTTACAATGCTTCCTTTTGTATGAAATGTCCACAATCAGCAGCTCTGTAGTGGTAGTGCCCTAGCAAGCACAAATGTGGGAGAGTAGGAAGGTAGTAGTTAAAATGTATGTGGTTTTTCTATTTTGGTAAATAAATATAACAAAACTTATTGTCTTCACCATTTTTCAGTGTGCTAAGTACATTCACATTGTTTTACAACTAGCTCTTCACCTTGCAAAACTGAAATAGTATACCATGAAACAACAGCTCCTCTTTTCTTCACCCACAGGCTTCATAGCCATCATTCTTTCTGTCTCTATGATTTAAATACTTTAAGTCTCTCCTATGAATGGAATTGCATAGTTTTGGTTCCCTTTGGCAACTGGCTTAATGTTCTTAAGGTTCATCCCTATTGTAGGATGGGTCAGAATTTCCTTCTTTTTTTAAGGCTAAGTAGTATTCCATTATCCCTCTATAGCGTGCATTACTTATCAACGTATCTATCAATGGACATTGGGTTACTTCCATGTTCTGGCTATTGTGAAAATACATATATCACTTCAAAAATCTGCTTGCAGTTCTTGTAGTTACATATCCAAAGTGGGGTTTGTGCTGAAGGATTAAAATGTTCTAAAACTGATGATGTTACACAACTTTTGATGTATTAAAAATAAATGAACTATACTCTTTAAATGATACTGTATGGCATGTTTGTTACATGCCAACAAAATGGTTACACACATATACCTACACACACACACACACACACACACACACACACAAACACACATACACACCAATGTTCAAACCATTCTCAGAGGACATCATGCTAATCAGTGAACCACAGAGAGGCCTACAGTGCTGAAAATTGCGATGGAAAACTATCTTGGCCATATAATTCATTACTGCGACATTTAATTTCACCATCAAACCTGAGAAGAGTATTTTTTTTGGGGGGGGGATCCGGTCATGGGCCTGAACTCTGGGCCTGGGCGCTGTCTCTCCGTTCTTCAGCTCAAGGCTAGCGCTCTACCACTTGAGCCACAGCACCACTTCCAGCTTTTTGTTTCTGCTTATGTGGTGCTGAGGAATCGAACCCAGGGCCTCAGGCATTACAGGCAAGCACTCTACCACTGAGTCAACTTCCTAGCCCTATAATAAATTTTTCTATAGACACCAAGTAGTTGTGGTAAGCCAGGCTGGCATCCTTTAGATAAAACTCCTATATTAATATGCTTAAAAAAAAGGTGTTTGCACTCATGGCCAGGGTGCTGTCTCTTAGCTTTTATGCTAAAGGTTGGTGCTATACTTGAGCCACATTTCCACTTTCAGCTTTTTGCTAGTTAACTGTAGATAAAAGTTTCATTAACATTTTTACCTAAGCTGGCTTCAAACCCTAATCCTCATATCAGCCTCCTGAGTAGTGAAGACTACAAACATGAGCCACTGGTGCCTGGTTTAGCAAGCTTTCAGTGTCCTTTCCTTTTATTTTAGTTAAAACTTCTTGGAAAAAAAGAAACTGACTATTCCCAGAAGTGTTTCTATTCCCTATTTTAACCTTCCAAGCATGCACTCCATGACCTTGAGTTGAGCATGCCCGGAAATGTATGTTTCCTTCTTGAATTATAACCTTACACCGACTATGTGCAGGAGTGTGCTCGCTAAAGTGCTTTTCCATATGAATAAAATCCCCTGCTTCCTTTGTTTCTGGAGGGCTCTGCTTTTGGGTTATCTCCAGTGCATTCCTTACCTGTTGCAGAGCAAATAGGAACTCATGATGCCTTTGTGCGTGCTCATTGACTTACACTCACTGAGAGGAGTGTATTCAGTTACCAGAGCCATTTTTCTAGAGGTTTCGCAACTTGGCGTTAAAATTCTTAGTATTTACTCCATTTGTTGCAGTGTGGGGGCGGGGGGGATGTGAGCGCCCTCTGCTGGCAAGTTATGATACATTCAGTATACCAAGGAGGAAAGTTGTCCACTAATTTCTCAAGTTAAGGGAGGTATTGAATGACTTAAAGCCTCAGAGGCCAGTCAGGACTTTTAGGGGTTTTGCAGGGAGTGAATTTTAGGGGCAGGGAGAGGGAGAGAGAGAGGGAAAAAGGAAGATGGGGGAAAGAAAGAGGAGGGGGGAAGGAAGAGAGGAGAAAGAGGAGAGGAGAGAGAGAGAAAGAAAGAAAGAAAAAAGAAAGAAAGAAAGAAAGAAAGAAAGAAAGAGCCCCACTGAACTGTAACATGCACCCACCCAGGGTGGTGGCCCAGCCTTGTGGACTTACGTCTGCAGCCCAAAGGGTCAGAGGCACTCAGGCCAAAGTAGCTGGGTTTGCACTGGTCACATTTGGCTCCTTCAACATTCTCCTTACACAGGCACTGGCCTGCCACAGATCCTAGGGAAGGATCAGAGTGGCTCACACAAATGCCACCAGACAGGGTCCCATCGGGGTCACATTCACAAGCTGGGGACACAGAAATGCATTGACTTAGTTAATTGCAAACTATGGGGAACTTTCATTATAAGCATAGCATTTTGCCCATTCTAGAACTATTAAGCTATGTTTAAATAATCATCAAATAAATTTGTACAAGTAGACTACTGGGCAAAGGGTTTCAGAAATGGCTCCCAGAGTAAGTTCAGATATATGTTGAGTAAGTTCAGATATATGTTGGATAATTCCATATATATACATGCATCTATCCAGACACTTTAGTCTGGAGGGGGGTCATCCTGACAAAGAGTTCTTCCTTATAGGCCATCAAGGACTACCTCACATAACTTCTCTTGTCTAATTCTGTCCTACCCTCAAACTATTCATACTATCAGCATTTTTTTCATATGGCATTCCTTATATAATTCCATATATTGTGTATATTTATATATACATATCTATGCATATATTATTCTAAAGTCAGAGGAAAACTACTGTTTAGAAAATGATTTTAAGGATTAGTTCTTTTGGGGATGATGAAAATGTCTTTGAACTCGGCAAATGTGATGGTTGCATGACACTGAACTAGTCAATTGTTCATTTTAAAATGGTGAATTTTATGTTATATGAATTTCAATGTAATAAGAAAAATAAAAAGACTAAAGGTGAAAATAAGGTCAAGAGAACTAAGGGTGTGATATGGTGATATTTGTCTCCCTGCAAACTGAAAGAAATCAGGTTAATGCCTAACCAACTCTCTGAAGCAAGGTTAAAAGATGTCTGTTCTTCATCACAGAAAAAGTATGTCTCCAAGGAAAGTACTATCATTCTTTTTTACTTTTCCTGGACAATCTACAAGAAAGAAAGGAAAAGAACAAGAAGACATATTCATGTCCTTGTTTTCTCTTTTGGAAATCTGGCAATAATGCAAAAACTTAAAGAAATTCTAGAAAAAAAGATAAGCAGGCACCCGTAGCACAGGATCAACAGAAGTATCAGCTTTTTTTTTTTAAAGTAGAAATGTAACTCATTAAGGAATATAATATGAAAAAGGATTCTGATAGTGTGAATAATTTGAGGGTATGGCAGGACTAGAGAAGATAAGTTACATGAGATAGATTTTGACATAGTGTAAGTAAGAACTCTGTCACTCAGGATGATTCTCATGACTACAGAGTCTGGGGAGACACAGACAGCACTTGTAGCTTTGGTCTAGAGGACCAGTGTGTTGGTAGCCATTACAAGGACCCGTCCTTCCTTTATTGTGCTGTTTCCAAGGGATTCTACTTTAAAGGGAGGCAATAAACATCAAAAATAAACATCTGGATCTTAAAGGACAATCTTTCCCACATTTGTACATGTTTACTTCAGATTAATAAACACAAGCTCCTCAAATTTAAGGTTATGTCTACAACCACTTAGGTTAGTGAGTTCAGTGGGAAAATCCAGTCTCATCAGTTGTTTGGTGTCGAAACAAATGCTTAGTTGTCTGACATAATCTTTCAAGTTTTGGCTGTTTGTTCTTGGATTGTGAGTGGTGATAAAAACATTAGGTTCTGTTTAGTTTGGAGGAAAATTCACAATTTCCTTCTAATTAAAGCCACTTGTTTCCAGAGAATAAAGGACAAAATAGATCATTTAATAAGTGGCCAAAAGGAAAAGCTCAAGTTTATTTGGGAGTCACATCCAAGGATCAGCACAGATTTCTAGATTATCAATTAATTATACACAGAAATACCCTTTGGGACAGAGTGATTAGAGAGTAACTCTACTTTGAATAACCCTATGTCTTAGCCTTTAGAAGGCCAATAAAACCAATTTAATCTTAGTAAACTTTTCTTATCAGTGGCTAAGTCTACCAGATCTTTGGTTTTGTTTGCATCATATGCAACTGTCTCAATCATAGAAGACTTAAAATTAGCCAATCTGTGCCTGGAATCCCTTTATGTAAATATTTAGGTTCAACCAAGGACAACTTAGAGAAAGGTTATATGAGAGTGCTAGTCAATCTTCTTGATACACATCATTTGTGTACATACAATCAACATGCGTTTAGGGGAACAGAAACTGGGGAGTCTCATGATGGAGATTTGTTATGAGGAAAAACTCCTTGTTTACAAAGAATGACTTCTTAATTTCAAATCAGGAGTGTTAACTTCCTCTTCTTGCTTTCTTTCTTTTTTCTAAAGTACCATCAATTTAATCTTAAAAACAAGATTCACTTGATATATTTAAATCATCTGGCTTATTAATCTTTAATTTCTTTTAAGACTCCTGGATTATGTTTTATAACATTGTAATTCCTTTTTCTACCCCAAAGAGCAATTTTCTTTTCTTTTCTGAGTACTTAACTATAAACATGAATAAAAGTTTAGGGGGATGTGATGTGTATGTGTACAATTCATGATCAAGATAAAAATTGTAGGACACTCAGGAAATTTCTCTAAACGTATGTTTTCTGAGAACTTAGTTCTTTGTATCAGTTTTGAGCAGGGTATAGATCCACAGGAAGCCCCACATACTCATGGTGTGGGTGGTAATTGGCACAGTCACCTAGAGTCAATTCTGCATTGGCTGATTAAGTTTAGAAACTGCATACTCCATGGTCCAGCATTTCCATCTGAGTTACCTTTCTTAGGGATAGTCTTTACACATGTGCACTAGCTCACAGATAGGAAATAGATCAATACATATTGCCATATTTATAGGAAGAAATTCTTGGCAGAAATTTAAATGAAGGAATTAGGGCTAACCAATAAGGACAAATCTCAGAAATAGAATGTTGAAATATCCAAGTTGCTGAATGATACATATAGCATACAAACCATTAATCCAAAGTCACTGTTGTCAAAAGTTTGACAATACGCCAATACATATTGTTTGTGATAAAAACATGTGTGCAAGTATGAAAACAAGCATGGTCATAATGATAAATATCAAGTCGTTGAGAGCGTTTGCTCCTATGAAGGAAGGAGGCAAAGGGGGAAGCTATGCCTGGGGTTCCATTAGTGCTTGTGGTGTTTACTTAGTAAAGAGAGTTGGAAAAGTTTCGATGAAACTGGTGGTATGTAAAAAGTGTTTATTATATGACTGTCTATTTTTTATGCTTGTAAAAGTTGAGATTAAACAGAAAAGCTTTTTGCTGGATGCTGGTGGCTCAAGTCTATAATTCTAACTACTCAGGAGGCTGAAATACGAGATCTGAGGATAGCAGTTTGAAGACAGAATGAGCAGAAAAGTCTGCAGGTCTCTTATCTCTAATTAACTAGCAAAATGCTGGACTGGAAGTGTGGTCAAGTGGTAGAGCATCAGCCTTGATCAAGAAAGCTGAGTACAAGTGAGAGGGTCTGAGTTCAAGCCCCACTACTGAAATAAACAAATAAATAATAAAGGTTTGAAGTCTTTTTTGGGGGGAGGGGCTGGTCTTGGGCCTGTATTTGGGACTGGGGTGCTGTTCCTTTTTAAAAAATATTCTCCCTCAAGTCTTGTGCTCTACCACTTGAGCCATAACTCCACTTCCACCCCCTGTTTTGGTAGTTAATTTGATATAAGTGTCTCATGGATTTTCCTGCTCAGGTTGGTATTGAACTGCAATCCTCAGATCTCAGCCTTCCGAGTAGCTAGGCATGAGCCACTGGCACTTGGCTTTAAGTCTTGTTCTTTAAAGAAGATGAGATCTTACCTCATTTATCTTAGAGCAAAATTGAAAAATAGAATTACCTCAGCCAGTGACATGTTTTAGCCAATATCACTGTGTGGTTACTTTCTTGATTTGAGTTCCAGTGTTACCAACATGCCTGTGGCATCTCCTAAAGCTGCCAGCTCCTCCTGGTTGGATCCATAATAAAGTTCTGATTCACTGGTATGGCCTAGGTTACACAATTCTCAGGCCTGACTTGGATTATTTGGGTCAGCTTGTTTGGAGGTAGAACTGAAGTAGTCTTACCTCCTCACTCCCCATAAGGTAGTCTGAATCCCCTGCTAAGCAGAGTTGGGGCAGGCAATCCCAAAGGGGCCAGATGAGAATTTGTGGAGACAAATGCAAAGGACTGGGCAAGGGGAGGAACTCACGGAGGCATGCATAGGGATCCGAGATGGCCTTGAAGGGGTCCCTGTAGAAGAGGGGTCTGCAGCGCTCGCAGTGCTGGCCCTCGGTGTGATGCTGGCAGTCCTCACACACGCCTCCACTGAGGCCACCACTGGCCAGGTATGCGGTCATGTCAAAGTGACAGCGCTCCGAGTGGCCATTACAGCTGCATGCTGAGAAGGGAAATGGAAAACGCCCGAGAGACTTTCAGAGGCTGCGGTGTCCTACATGCTCACGCTCAGCCTCCAAGGTCTCAGCCCCTGCTCCTCTTCATCCACATCCAAGCGCACAAAGGCCAAAGCAGGTCTGTCTAGCATTCTGATTCTCCTCATGTGCTGTCATAAAGAGTGTTCCCATGATACTCAATACATACTTTTAAAAATCACACAAACAGAAAGAAATCATTCAGGCAATCTGGAAACCATAGGGTATGTTATGGTGTTCAGTGAAGAATATTCATGCTTTGTAAAATCTGAATTCTATTTATTTATTTATTTTTTAGTCATGGGGCTTGAACCTGAGTTCAAGCTTGAGTGCTGTCCCTGAGCTTTTTTGCTCAAGACTAGTGCTCTACCACTTTGAGCCACAGCAATATTCCAGTTTTCTGGTGGTGAATTGGAGATAAGACTCTCATGAACTTTTCTGCCCATACTAACTTTGAACCGCAATCCTTTGATCTTAGCCTCCTGGGTAGCTAGGATTATAGGTGTTAGCCATATAGCCTGAGCCACCAACACCAGGCTTTTTTTTTTTCTTTTTCTTTCTTTCTTTTTTTTACTTAAATGTTCTATACGCATTGGGATTTGTACATAAGATGTTGGAGTAGAGCCCAGTCAGTTTCTGTGCTTCTGCAAGGACAGAGGGCTAAAAAGGTGGTTACAGGCCACTTTTCTCTCATGTGAGGCTCACTAAGATGACTAGAAGGCCTCAGAGTTGTTGGGAGAAATTTGTTTATCTTTGTTGTAAAGTCTGTGCTATGTCCCACAACCCACCCCACTGTAAACAGTCTGAGTTTGGCCATGTTTTGCTGGATTTGTGTACTCTGTCACAGCTAGGTTCTTTTCATTAGAGCTCTTCTAGGGACTTTTCATTCCTTCAAGTCTCATTTTACCAAAACCTGGGAAAAGAAACTGAATAAGAAGATTGTGTGGAAGTTCATAAAAATTCAGAGGCAGCTAAGCTGTCACTGCAAACTAAAATACCTTATTAACCAAAATATTTCATTAAACTATGCTAGTCCAAGCCAGATGCTTGTAGCTCTTGCATATAAACCTAGATATTCAAGAGGCTGAGATCTGAGAATATCAGATCTCAGAAAAGTTCGTGAGACTCATATTCAATTAACCAGCAAAATGCTAGAAGTGGAATTGTGGTTCAAGTGGAAGAGCAAAAACCTTGAGCCATAAAAAGCTAAGAGAGAATACTTTGACCCTAAATTAAAGCTACAGTATTGGCACAAAGACAAAAAGCCTAACAACAAATTAATTCCTGGACCTCGTTTTTTCCTATCATCTTTCTTATGGATATAAAGTCATTTTCTGGAACATCTTATTACCAAACCTAGACTTGCTTGCCCTCAGCAATTACATACAACTCCGCCCCATTATCTAAAAATGTGCTGCATAGCATGCACACTAGTTATCTTAATTTTTTTGGGGGGGGGTGTCAGTTTGAGAAGTTGGTGATTCTTGTACATGAGGCCCTTGGAGCAATTAAGATATCACACAAGTGCAGCAGGGAGCCACAGCTCCATTTCTTCGGCTGCCTGCACCCCACAGAAGTGAAATACATGTGCTTCAAAATAAGAGAAGAGAACACACTTTTCTATTCAAGAACTTATTTTCACCCACCTCTGCAAGCGCTGTCCTGAGCACCCACAGCTGGCCTCCAAGGAGCATCCTGGAAGAAGTCCTTACATCGCTCACAGTTGGGGCCATCTGTATTGTGCTGACAGACACAGTGCCCATGAACCTGCAATCATGAATGAACAGAGTTAGAATAGGGCTTTTCTTTGTGTGTGTGCATGCATGCGTGTGCGTGCATGTGCATGTGTGTGTGTGTGTGTGTGTGTGTGTGTGTGTGTGTGTGTGTATGAACTCAGGGCCTAGCATGACACTTTTGCTTTTTTTTTTTTCTGCTCAAAGATGGTACGCTACCACTTGAGCCTTACCTCTACTTTCAGCATTTTTCTGGTTAACTGGAAATTTGAACCACAATCATCAGAGCTCAGCCTCTCAAATACCTAGGATTCCAGGTGTGAGCCCTCAGCATCTGGCTAAACAGGGCTTGTCTGTACATGGAAAATGAATTCCCAGGTCATGGTCCCTCTGTGGCTTTTAGTTCCCTATGTGTTAGTGACAATACCAACCTGACTATATTCAATTATGTGCTTCACTAGTTTATAAGATTTAATAATTTCCAGAAGTATAATCAATATTTAGAGTAAATTTTGTGGGTATGCTTTTCTAAATTCTTGTTTCAGGACAGCATAAGGAACAAGATGTGAGGAGTGAGTGTGTTTTTGGAGAAGGGAAAATAAGGAGTTAGAAAAGAGAAAGAAGCTACAGAAAGACATGATTCCCTCAGGCTTTCACAAAATGCTTAAAAATGTTCAGAGAGATGTAGAGGTGGCTGTGTGGGAAGGTATCATGTTCTCTGGAGACTGAGACAACTGAACCTAATAAGTAAATCTGTTTAGTAGACATACCCCTTAGGATTCAGCACAAGTGTACAGTTCGTGGGCTCGAGTATGACTCAGTGGTAGAACATGAGCATAGAATGTTTGAAGCCCTGGGTTCAATTCCCTGAACTGTAGAAACAAGAAGACAACAACAAAAGATACACTCTAAGAACAAGAGATCTACAACCCTGACAGCTGTTCAGAGCAGAAGAGTATCACAGGGCTTGACCATTTTTATAATATTAGGTGTCATTGAAACATTCTAACTTTGAATAGAGGGTCGCATCCCCTACAAATTTTCCATATTTTTTTGTATGTGTGAAAGAATGAATGTGAAATTAGAGTTCATTCCTATCAAATCTGTGTGTCCTAAAAAATAAATAAACAAAAAATAAGCAAGGTAGGTTCTCTTAAAGCCACACATGATAAATTCTGCTCTTGAGTTCAGTGATGCCCACAGGTGACAGAATTCACAAGGACTATGGACAGAGGAATGAGCTGGTAGGGCGGGAGGGGGTCCCGGGAAGGTGGAGATTCACTGCTACTGGCCCCATGCAAAACTGGGCACTCAGATTTATTGTTCTCCATATAGATTTCTGGTCAGCAATCCATATCAGAACAATGAAAGGAAGGAAGGAGAGACAGTTTGCAAGTTTGGCTAATAACTTACCACTGCTGTGGAGCTGAAAATGTCTCCCTGCACCTGCTGTAAAGGTTCACACTTATTTGCATGGCCATTGCAAAAACAGCTTCCCCGAACGATCATCTCATAGAGTGCATAGTAGTATTTATCAAGGGAATCATTTTGTTGCCTTCCAAGTAAAGTATCCCCAAGGGTGTGGAGTTTGGTAAAGTTTATCCTCAGGTTTGTTAATGTTACAAGGTCTTGAAAAAGGAAAACAAAATGAATCAAAGTGCATTTAAGTTCAAGTTTTTCTGCTTGACTGTTGTCTCCTTAGCACACCACAGGAAGGAAATGACAAGGTATCCTCCTAACATAAAATTTAAAGAAAACTTATGAACTATGTAACAGATTCATACCTTGAATTTGGGGGCTGTAAGGGTTTTCTATTTCAAAACTAGGGTCCAAAACTTTTAAAACAACCTGCAAGACAAACAATATAGGTGAACTTATTATGGTAGCCCAAATGTAACTGTCTAATTGCTTAAGGAAGAAATCTTGATCTTGCATGAAGATTGAGCCATTGGCTCCCAGTTAATATGTCGATTATTATTTGAGTGACTATATGAATAAAGGACCAGATACAGAGATGAATGCATAGGATTGAGCAGTCACAGGTGGATTTGGTACATATGTGTCCATATCAGAAGTGGAATAGCACTGCTGAAGAGAACTATGAACTGGATTAGGATGGAGTGATGGGTAGTTCAGCAAGCCACTGTGAATTTGGGCCTGGCAGGGAATTCTGAAGCTGTCTTATGCTACCAAATCTCTCTGCTCTCTCTGATAAGATAGGTACTCTCCAACCCCACTGCTACCCTGACCTTGTGCTAGTTGTTACCAGCTTTGTGTAGAGAGACATTCCTAGATCCCACCTAGTTTCCCTAGCGATTCCAGAATTACAATAATGAGACAGTTAACTCAGGAATGTGACCAGCTTTGTTCTTTTCTTTCTTCCTCTAGGTGCCCAGAACTACACCTGGCCAGTATAGACCGAACTGTTCACTGTCAGCTGTTAACCCTTGTGTGGATTGCTTCTGCTTGGATATTTATTGTCTACTATTCAGGATTCATTTCAATTTAGGCATTTTCATTTTAAGAAAAAAATAAGATTACATTATGGTTGAATAAACATGACTTAAGCTTTCTCTTATATATATATATATATATATATATATATATATATATATATATAAGTATACACACACACACACACACACACACACACATTAAAGTGTTTATAAGGAAAGAAATCCAAGGGAAGGAAGGTTACCTCGCCTCCAGTTGAGGGCTCGACATCTGAATATCTGGAGTCACAGACAAGGTCTCCCACTTTCTGGGCCTGGCCAGCAGTGATGCCAGGAAAAGAAATAGCACAGTCTTTTGCAAAATATTTGAGCACTTTCCAGGTGTGTCCATAGTTGGTGGAACGCTCTACTAACATTGCAGCAGGTCGAAAAGTCTGAAAATAATGTCCCCAACGCATAGTTTATCAATCATTTGTTTGAACATTTTTGTCTTCTATTTCCATTTTATCAAACCTTGTATTCTACAGCAGACACAGCTAGATCTTGTTCCAACAAATGGGCAACTATTTATGCCCTCAGAATCAAGTTACATTTTGAAAAGATTTATGACTGTGTAATTAGTAAGAAAAGTAATACATACATTAAAAAAATGCCAATGTCATTAGTATTTTACAATAATTTTCTTTGGTTTTCTTTGCTGAGAATGCTTTTCCTTAGGCAAATTTACAGATCTTATGAAACCCATAACATTTATTGTGATTCCCTAAAGTGGATTTAGCTTCTTCAACTAAGTAACCCCAGGATTTTAATTATATCTGTATTACTGCACATTTCCTTTTGTACTACAACTTTCTTTTTTTGTTTATACTTTAAAATACTTATTCTATTTATATGTCTGAGTTTGCAACGAAATGGTGAGTTTTGGGGGGACAAAGACTGCTGACCTTTTTTCATTACTTTTAAATTTTATCTTTAAAAAAATAATTACCCAAATTAGTGACAAGCCTGAGATCAAGGTTAGAATTTTGATGATTATGAAAAACTTTACTATATAACTTGTGTTGGCATCTACCTAACCTTAATACTCATAATTTCTTTTTCTAAAAATTTTAAATTATTACTGTGAAAATACCATACAGAGGAGTTACAATTATATGGACAAGATAGTGAGTACATTTCTTTCTCTCTTTTTTTTTGGGGGGGGGGTCCGGTCATTGGGCCTGAACTCTGAGCCTGGGCGCTGTCCCTCAGCTCTTCAGCTCAAGGATAGCGCTCTACCACTTCAGCCACAGCGCCACTTCTGTTTTTTTTTTTCTTTTTGCTTATGTGGTGCTGAGAATTCGAACCCAGGGCCTCAGGCATGCAAGGCAAGTGCTCTACCACTGAGCCACTTTCCCAACCCTAGTGAGTACATTTCTAATCAAGCATTGCTGCTACCTCCTTTGTTTCCTCATACCATCCCTTCCGCTCTCCACCCACACTCCCACACCCTCCCTACCACCCCATCTCCCTACCCCCGAAGCTATAAAGTTCGTTTTTCTACATAACCTCTTGTACATCTCATTTATGTAATGGGTCCACCTGTATCCCTATTTAAACAGCTTGTTTTTTTCCCTTCCCCTCCACAAATTATATCAACATCAAATACAGTGAAAGCAGGGCTTATACCCTGGGGGAGGTACATACAAAGCAACAAAGAAACCATCTTATAAATATGTTGGAAACAATCACAAGAAAGAAAAAAAAAAACCCATTTGAACCCTTATCTTAGGGTTCATTTCACCTAACATCAACTTATCTGACCGTTTTTGCTTGTCTCATACATATACTAGCTATTGCAAATAAAGGAAACCATGGGACCTATGTTTCTTTGGGCCTGGCTTACTTCACTTAATATAATTTTTTCCAAGTCTTTCCATTTCCTAACAAATGGGGCAATGTCATTCTTTCTGATGGAGGCATAGAATTCCATTGCGTGTATATATATATATATATATATACCACATTTTCTTGATCCATTTATCTACTGAGAGGCATCTGGGTTGGTTCCATGTCTTAGCTATCATAAATAATGCTGCAGTAAACATAGTTGTGCTGGTAACTTTAGTATGGTCTTGTTTGTGATCATTTGAGTAAATGCCCAAAAGTGGGATTGCTGGGACATAGGGGAGCTCTATATGGATTCTTTTGAGGAACCTCCATACTACTTTCCAAAGTGGTTGACAAAGTTTACACTCCCACCAACAATGCAGTAGGGTTCCCTTCTGTCCATATCCCCTCCAACATCTTTTGTTTTTAGAGTTCTTGATTATAGCCATTCTAACTGGGGTGAGGTGGTATTTCAATGTTGTTTTGATTTGCATTTCTTTTATGGCTAGGGAGGTTGAGCATTTCTTCATGTGTCTATTGACCATCCTTTTTTCCTCTTCAGAGAAGTTTCCCTTTAAGTCTTTAGCCCATTTATTTATTGGGCAGTTGTTTCTTTGAGGATTTGTTGTTGCGCAATTTAAGTTTTTGAATACTCATAATTTCTCTTCTTCTTTTGAACACAATCTTTCCCTTCCAAGTTTCTCTCCCCTTTTCCTGAAAATTATCTCTCAAAATCTGTGGCCTCTATTACTCTAGTATATAGACTTTTCCTATTTTACTTTTTTCTAAGATTTTTTCTCATTACTATACAGTCATTAATTAATAAGCAATGTTCATTTAAAAAATTATTTAAGAACAAAATCCAGATGATAAAACTTGAATCTAGACTTATTTTGGCTTCTGAGGTCTATAATGAAGCCAGGAAGTAAGTGAAGTTGCAGGTTAGCATTGAGCACTGATGGAATAGAGAAGGAAACTGCAGGCCTGTCCAACTATACCTTGAAGGTCAGTATAAGGTGGCTGAACTGAAATAGTGTCTCTAGGTCCAATCTGATGCTGACATGATCAAGACCTAAAGGGGGAAAAAAGAATGATTTCAGAGATCTCTGCTTATCATGTTAACTGCCCCCCTGTTGCTTGTCTATAATAAAATCCCATGGATGTCACCTGGCTGGTGGCTGACATTCTTCCCCAGTCTGTGACCTGGTGTCCAGGTCTCTCCATGTCCAGGAGATCTAGGTGACAGCAGCATAGGTTTTACCCTGTCTAAAATTCACATTTTGGTGACAAGACAAGATGGCCACTATGCGGCAGTATTGCAAATTCCCATGGGAGTTCTGGACCATTTCCCATAGGCGGCAAGAGGTTGTATTTGCTGGTACTCAAAATAGGAGCCAGCAAGCCGGAGCGTGATAAAAGTCAACACACCCTTTATTCCCAACTCCCAGCTCCAGACAGTCAGTTCAGTTAGATTGTTTTTGTTAATTGGAATAAGCTACATCTTGGAATATTCCTCTTAAAGTGAGGATCTGTGGCTCCCCTATTACTGAGGAGATGGGAATAATCCTGCCAGGACTTTTTGCATTGTGATCCATCTCTAGAACAATGTGGGCATCTGGCCCCACCCAGACACAACAGAAGCCCACCTATTTCCAGAACAGCGTGGCTCAAGAGAAGTGGAACATGAGTTATACATGAAATTAAGGATTGTCTAAAAAGTACACTTAATAAAGAAAAAGAAAGCAATATATAAAAATTATCATTACAACATATAATCAGTATTGTAAAAATTAGCAATGCTTTTTTATCCATTTTTTGCCCCCAGCATTTAGACATCTGGGTTGCATTTCCACAGACAGAATAGCCATGTGCAGATAAGGGTCCTACTGGATGTGTGGCTCTAGACAAAAGAGGCTGGACCATTGTGAGTGGGAGTTTGATTTAGAGTTCTAGGACACATGGGTAGGAGAAGCACCTGCTGAACCATAGCCACATTTTAAACTCTGAATCCAAGACTCTGACCCTCACTAGGAGGAGATCTATTTCCCCTTTCTAACTGAGAACTCTCCTTCTATGCAATTACCCTCAGCAAAATGTTGGACATTATACCTAACAGCTGTTAAACCAACTGATACTACTCATCAATGACAACAGGGGAGGATGGCAAACCTCACCTCACATTCATTAAGGAGAGTCCAACAAGACATAACTAGGATCCAAAATGAAATGGTGTTCAGTAGATGTCAGTCGTGCAGTTGTCAAATGGATGAAGTAGAAAGACACCATCACAAGAGGATTGTCCTACATATCTTATACAGTATAAATATCCCCACACTTTGGTCTTAATGGTCTAGAGTTTCTCTCTCTCTCTTCTCTCTCTCTCTCTCTCTTTTAGGTCTAGAGTTCTCTAAAAAATGTGTTTAGAAGTCTAAAGAGCCCAACATGCAACATAGAGAATATGAATGGAATAAGTGTGTGCCCAAGGAAAACAAACTAGTAAGTGAGAAGGACCCTTATGGGGAGGCCCAGTGTGGATAACTATGTTTTGTAGAACAGTATGTGGGAAAGTCTCCATTAGGAGGCCTATTATGGATGATCCATTAGGAGGCCTACTATGGATGAATATGTTTTGGTATGGACAGGGATACTCTCCCATTAGGCCTACACTTAACCATGGGCCACTGTGTCACTTCAAATCATGCACACTGAAGGGTATAAAATCAGGAAGGATATAGCTAATTACAAGTAGCCAATTATCCTTTAGTTCACTCTTTTTGTTTTGTTTTTCTTTCTTTCTCTTCCCCTCCCTCCCTCCCTCCCTCCCTCCCTCCCTCCTTCCTTCCTTCCTCTCTCTTTCTTTTCTTTTGTTTCTTCTTTTGTATGTCAATGAACCTAGGGTTGGACTCTGTCCCTTAGTTTTTTTGCTCAAAGCTGATGCTCTACCACTTGAGTCACAGCTCGTGGTTAATTGGAAATAAGAGTCTCATGGACCGTTCCCACCCAGGCTGGCTTTGAACTGCAATCCTTAGATCTCAGCCTCCTGAGTAGCTAGAATTACAGGCTTGAGCCACTGGCACCCAGCTTTTTAGTTCAAATTTTATATTAAGACCTTTGGCTCACAGGGAGAAGTAGTGTTCTTTCTCTCTGTTCCTTGTGTGTCAAAGAAGGAAGAGCACTTAGTACTCATCTTTAAACTTCTGACTTTATTCAATTTACGGCAGTAGAGGTTTCTATGAGGATTAATTTTTCCCAAGAACTAAAAGATACAGAGGCATTTTTCTTTCCCCACATGGAAAAACTAAAACAGAGTTATTTGCTTAAGATACATTTTGATTTCTCTAAAGGAAAATATTCTTTCTTAAAATGGAAATAAATTCAGTTCTTATAAGATGTTCCACATTTTTGGTGGATAACATCTTGCTGTGACATTGTTAAGACCACACAAGGAGAAGGGAGTCTTGTTAAAATATGAATAAAAGAATGGAAAGCAATTTAATCATACCATTTTCAGATTGCCACCATGTCTTTTCTCTGTGTGGTTCAAAACTTGGAATTACGTTCTCAATAGTGTGGCTGTTGGGCTGGGTGTGCGGATTATATGGAAGTCGAGAGTCACAGATGAAGCATTTGTGTTCCCCCTGGAAAACATCACCATCAAAATTAAAAATAAAGGTTGCTCTGAATTTAAAAACAAGCTGTTCTCACTGTATCTGTTCTTCAATCTGGCTAAAAATAAAAAGCAGAGGAAATAACAACACATCACTTTTTTCCATCAACAGGTGCTTAAATACAATAAGAAATTAAACTATGATCTAGAAATTTACAAATTCATGAAAGTTCAAATTTATATGGAACTATTTTTTCTCTACTATAACAGGCAGATAATCTGGATGTTATTTTATATTGCATAAAAATATTGAAGGTGGGCTTTGTGAGCTAGAATTAACTTCTTTTGGTCAAAAAAGGAGTATTTGGCAAATGAATGAAATTTTCCTGTCATAGTGTAGACTTCTATTAAGCTCACAACAAAGAGGCCCACTCTCTTGACCTGCAGACTAGAAGGTCATATTGGTGATTGGAGCTAGTTTTGCTTAGGGTGGCTTTTCAAAAGTCACAAGACCAAAGCCCTAGCCTTTAAGCTTGTTTCATTAGTGTGTCCATTGTACCTGCACTGAAACTCCTAGTGGGCTTTCCAAAGGACTGTCCATGGCCTGCCCAGTGGGACCCAGAAAGAGATTTTTTTCAAAGCTTCTGGGAAGTACTTGTTGTTCATTAGCAACCTTTGGTGACAGAAATTGCCTGCAGCAGCATGGGTCCTCAGCTGCAGGTACTAGATAAACATCATCATGTGGATGTCCTTCATATGTCTTCCAGACCCCAGCACTGTCTAACCCAGGCCACATTTTCACATCTACTTCCAGTAGTCATTCTGTTCTAACCACACTAGCTTCCAGGCCCTTGCTCTTCCCCCAGCACACAAAAACACATTGGTTGTAGCACCTCAGTACAAGCTATTCTTCCTCCAAAATGTTTGGATCTCTTGGTCTCTCCCTTCTTTCTTGTCTTTCCTAAAATAGAATTATCTCCCTATTCCACCTGCACTATTTGTCAGTCTGAAATATTTGGGGGTTTTAAAAAACCCTAAATTTTAAGCTTTCTGCCACTCTTTGGATAAAATTAGCCTTTACTTTTATATTTTGACTGGCTATTTTGGGTGGTCTAACTTTGACATAGAAGGATACCAGTTTCTAATTATTGCCAGACTATATTGGCTCTTGACAACAGTGAGCAAATGTCAGAGGAAACAGAATAAGCTGGGCAAGGGTAGTGTCAGAAAGTGTCTGATGTTAGCATTGAGAATGACTTCTTTGTCCAGTGGACTCGGACTTGGATAAGTCAGCTGCAGGGCTATCCATCCTACCTAGCTGAGAGCTGAGCCAAACTTGCACCTTGGGATTTCCTTCTACTTGTAGAGCATTTACTTCCTTACATAAATACGTCCCACACTCAGAACAGTCCTAAGCACCCAGGTGTTGTCTCTATTTATAACCATCATCTTTTACTAGACACCATTAGAATACAATGCATTTCCCAGAGACCTAAAAGCTTGCCTTAAATAAACAATACATGGAAAAGCCTGGGCCCCTAACATTAGGCGTATGTCCAACTTCCTTCCTGCACATCCTCTTATTGAAGGGGTGGATTAGATGGCCTCAGCGTTTTCGGCAGGTATGACGCAAAGATGACCTTAGATGCTTGCTCTGTTGACAGTACACAGGGAGAAAGTGTCCTGAAATGCCACTGGTACTTTAATAAAAACTTGTCTTTAAGGGGGTCAAAGGCACAAAAATGTCATTGCTTTGGAATTTATGGTTTGGAAGCAATACAGTTTTCAAGTGCTATCATAAGGTTAGTTGTACAATCCATCCATTCTATTTTGTTTTTGCTTGAACTCAGGGCCTAGGCCCTCACTGTTTCTTGGCTTCTTTGCTCAAAGTTGGTACTAAAACCACAGCTCCACTTCTGGCTTTTTGGTGGTTAACTGTAGGTAAGTGTCTCATGAACTTTCCTGCCAGAGTTGGCTTTGAACTGCAAGGCTCACATCTCATTTGTGTGAATAGCTAGGATTACAGGTATGATCCAATGACACTTGGCTCTACCCAGAGTTCTATACCTTCTCTACCTACCTAAGATGGGCTCTCACTCTGCACAAAGCCTCTTGGGTTTTTAATCTTTATTGAAGAGGTTGATTCTGCTCAGCTGTGTGGGAATAACAACACTGGCAGCCAAGTAGACAATTAGATTTTACAGATTCAAAGATTAAACAAAAAAGTTATTTTTCTGTCTAATTTTGAAGGTAACAGAAAACAGAAATAAGAGAGGTCTTCTATGTTTTCTGAATAGTTAAGGTTTTCTAGACTTTGAATTACGTTGTGCCAGTCCAGGGAGAAGGATGCTCTCCTTCTGTCAAGCTGTGAGAGGCCCCAGGCCCACAAGAAAAAATGGATATCACTGATCAAATAATATCCCAACAAGTTGGAAGGGTGAACAGATGCCACAGTGGTACTCATTAGACACTATGTGGAAAATGAACTGTACAACTTGTGGGTGGGGATGGAAGAGCAAAACTGGGAGAGAGCGAGGGAAAGGTTGGCATTGTCCCCAAAGGAAATGTATTCATTTTTGGGCTTATGTAACAGTAACCCCTCTACACATTACTTTTATAATAGCAATAAAAATACTTTAAAAAATAATGTTCCAACAAGTAAAGGGAACCAACACACCTCTAGGTAGCTGAGAATGCAGTACTTTTGGGCTTCTTTCAGCCCACAGGTAGACGATGCAGTAAGCTGTGCACTACGTCCCACAAGGAGATTGCCGGGGCTCGGTCGGCAGGCACCTCTGCCACATTCATCTTCTGCTTTCCAGCCACTCAGCCACCCTTGAACACACAGAAACAGCATGTAAAGTAGCCCCAGAACTTCACAAAGCCTCAAGAAGTAAGATTAAGCTGGTTTATTTACTTAAATTTTTTTTTTCACTACTGAGATTTGAATTCAGGGTCTTGGCACTTACTGGCAGGCAGTGTACCACCTGAGCCAAGTTTCTATCTTATTTGCTCTTAAAACTGGTTCTGTGGATCTTTAAGCCCTTGGTTCTAGAGGTTGCTGGTACTTCAGCCTGATGGGACAACTCAACCTTGGAGATCACCCCTCTCCCCACATGGAACAATGAATGACTGGTACAGCATTCAGAAGACTGGCACCATTGAGTTGGGCTGAAATCAACTCCATGGTGCCATTCTTGTTCAGCCTTTCCTCTTGGCATCTGGTGGGAGCTGGACTCTCGTGTTGATCACAGCCAATGTCCATCAACCTCCATCTCTCATTCCTGAGAGCACTATCAATAAATCACATGCACAGCTCTGCTTTGAAGAAACTGATCTGAGACAAACTCCATGCCCTGGGAATTCTTTGTGTGTCATTTAGGGAAAACAAGGAAGAAGAAGAATACATAGTTTTAAGGAAGGAGAATCCTAACCCTGTCTGTACACTTGTTGTTCAAACCCATATGGAAGAAATAGGAAGATTTAAGAAATCTTGGGGAACATAACCTCCTAAAATATGAAAATTCATTTGAACCCTTTTATAACTTGTATTGTTTGGTTTAGATACTGTGGGAGAATTCAAGATCCTTGCGGAGAAAGTGAGAGATGAGTAGGTATGCCAAACTCAGCCCATTTTAATTCCTGCTGTTGAACAGACTTGTCCTGACCTGAAGGGATCTGGATTCAAGTAAGGTAGGACTATTATAGGAACTGCACTACCCAAAGACAATCTCACTTCCCAAAAGCTACTTTTAAAATTTGTCTTGCTTTAAATGTTATGTTCTGGAGAAATAAGCATTATATCTTAGTTCAGTTCAATACATTCAGAAACACCTATCTTTAATCCAAGTCTGTAGTTTGAATAAACCACATTATACAATTAATATATACTAACAAAATGTAGAATTTTTATACCTAATGCCATTCAGAAGGCAAAGTTAGGACCATTCATCATATAGAAAATTATATGAAGAAAAAATTGAAAGTGCATTAAAATTTCACTTTACTATTGTTAAATAGAGTCAGTAATCATAGCAAATGATAGAAAACATAATTGAGTCCAACGTATCAGATAGCAAAGGGGTAAAAGAGAATGTAAGTGGTTTAGAAGCCAGTTGCTATTGATGGGAAATGTCCAACTATAGCGCAGCTGTTTCTTCATCTGAAATAAAAAAAATGATAGTGAAGAACCACAAGCTCTATGCAGAAGATCTGGTGAGAAGACAGGGTGAGAGTTATCAATGCAGCCAAACATGTCTCTTAATTGAGACAGAGGAAGAAAATGTCACCAATAAATCCCTTTGGTATCAAGACACCTAGACTAACCTGAGCCACAATTCTAACATCATGTATTGCCAAAATAGTTTTTAACTTTCTAATTTAGTAAGACACTAAATTAGAAAATATTGCTTCACTAGACTCTAAAATAGAATCAAGCTTAGCTTATGGAGCAACTGAGAAGGCAGAGGTTGGTATATGTGTAGATATAGGTAGGCATATCTAATGACATCTTTGCATGCTTATTTAACATTGGGCAAAGATATAGAAAACCTTTAAATTTTCTAATATGTGATCAAAGATCCCAACATTGTTTGCTGAATGGTATTAAGTGGAATAATTACTGTGTCTCATTCTATTCAAATTATAGATCTGGGCTAATGATAAATGCCTTTAAAATGTGCTGAAATGAATTTGAGATCAACAGAACAAAAAAGGATGCCCAGGACCAAAAAAAAAAAAAAAGGAGGAGGAGGAGGGGGGAGCTAATGTATCCTATCTCCCTTTCTTGGATATTTACAATGGACATCAGTGTATTAAATTACTTAGAAATGTTTATGTAAGCATCTATCTACCAAATGTGGGAACTTTAATTCAACCCCCAGTACCACAAGAAAGAAAGAAAATGAAAAAGAGAACATTTCTATAAAAAAGAATCCATAAAAGCAAACTTTTTAAAAGTTATTTGAACTAACACTCTTCAAATTTATTTTATGGAAGACATCTTTTTTTAAAAAAATCCAGTTCAGATTAATATTATATTCAGCACAAGAAATCAACACAAGAAAAACAGTTGGAAATGCTAAAGTTATTTTAGTTTCTTCTGGTCTAGAAATGCTTTAATTTTGGAAGTGGGGATTACTATGTCTCAGAGACTGGATTTCAGAAATTGATTTAAGAGGTAAATGAGTTAGAATGAAATTCACTCTGGAACATTTCATAAATTATCTACAGAGTATAACATATATGGAGCTATAAACACAAGTCTTAACACAATGTTTGACAGCCATCAAGTTAGCTAAAGGAAAGAGACAAAAGAAAATCTATGTGGAACCAGACGGGCATATGAGTAATTCTAAGACAACTGTCAAATCTCCCTCCATGCAAGTGGTGTGGGGAAGTTCTTTCCTGTGGAGTTTGCCCTATTAGGTTATGTATTATATATATATATATATTTGTAAGCAATAACATTAATAGGTTGAAAAGTTTGAATAAAAGAAAGTAGAATATTAATCTGGCTGAAATCTAAAGTTAGTATTAAATAAAGTTGAATGCACACACAACGAATTTCCCACAATATCTTTTGGATAGCTATTTATAGAAACAGTTGTGCCTCTTAAAAGTATACTTGAATAGGACAATATAGACTCATTTCTAATTCAGTTAAAGGATTACAATCCTTCTTGATTATGGAGGCCAAAGCAGACATTGGTAATTTTGTAAAAAAGCAAAATAACCTCTGGATGGAAAAGTATATGAACTAAAAAAGCTTGAAAATTTTTAAAAAGAAGAATAAAGGGAAGGAATTACTCTACCTGACATTAAGACTTGCTGTACAGTTGAAATAAACATGACAGTGTGATACTGACAGGCCAATTGACTAGAATAGGAACCCAGAAATAGACTAACATGGATGTGCCAGCTGATTTTGAGACACACAGGCAATTTAACACAGAAAAAACTAGACTTTTAGGTTGGGTGCTGGTGGCTCACACCTGTAATCCTAGCTACTCAAAAAAGCCAGAAGAGGAGCTGTGGCTCAAGTGGCAAAACCCCCTTCTTCACATAAACCATTTTATTAATATGTGTTAATATAAACTATTCTATTAATATTCTATTTGTAATCATTAGTCATGTAACTTAGCCAGCTAGGTATGAATTCTATAGCTTATGTCTACCCTCTCAAAAGTTACTAAGTGGCAATTAAAACAAGAAATTGCTTCTTTACAACTTCACTGTGAAGATTCTAAATTGTAGGTACATTTCTTTTTCGCTTTCTCTGAGATAGTTATATGAAGAAAAGCATCTTTTGTATACTTTTTAAATATATTTTTCATTGAAAGATACTGTACAGAGGGGTTACAGTTACATGAGTGAGGTAATAAGTACATTTCCTATCGAGCGTTGTTACTTCCTCCTTTGTTTTTCCCCCACCACCTCCCCCTCCAAGTTGTAAAATTTTCAACATAGTGTCTTGTACATCTTATTGTTACAATGGGTCAAACTGTCTCCTTATTTTAGCATTTTGTTATTTCCCTTCCCGCCTCCCCTCCCCCCCCGCAAATTAGAAAAATGTATATACAAGATGCAGGGCACTGGAATAAAATACAGTGAAAACTGAGGTTATACCATGGGGGAAGAACATACAAAAGAAACAAAAAAATCACATAGTACATTATATGTACATTAAAAACAATACCAAGAAAGGATAAAACCTTTTGTGTCCCTATCTTGGGGTTCATTTCACTTAGAATCATCTTATATGATCATATGTACATAGCTTTTGACCTTTTCTGCTTGTCCCAGACATATACTAGATATTGCAAATAAGGGAAACCATGGGACCTATGTTTCTTTGGGCCTGGCTTACTTCACTTAATATATCTTTTCCAAGTCTTTCCATTTCCTAACAAATGGGGTGGTGCCATTCTTTCTGTCAGAGGCATAGATTCCATTTCTTTTGCATACTTTTTTTTTTTTTTAGTACAAGAAAGTGTCCTTGGTCGATTACTATGGGTTTTTCCTTTTATCCACCAAACCACCCAAACCACATTTCCTCTTGTTTCCCAAACTGGCAACAAGGACACATAACTTTAGTAGGAGTTTGGACTCCAATAGACAGAGACTTTTAAAAACAAGGTCAGATATAATAGTTCTGTTGATTCTTCATGTGGATTAAGTAAGATTTCCCTTCTAGGCATTTATTCATTCAGACAAGTTACATCCTGAATTACTTTATTGGAATTTGTTGCCTTAGAGATTTAACATGTTTTTATAACTTGACTTGGCCATACTTGTTTTGACCAGATGCATACTTTTCAGAAGAAGTATTCCAAAATTTTATTTATAAAAATTAAGCTACAGTTCTTGCAATAGCATAAGTGCAAATATGAACTTTAACTTGTACCAAAGGTTTAAAAATACACGTAATTTAAACATGCCTGGACTGCACTTGGCTATATCTTTCTTGGGCCTAAATGGTCAACAGCCAGATAATCACATTAGCAATAGGTTGGAATTGATTCAAGAAATAAAGTTATTTGTATCTTTGGGCAATCAATGCATTCCTCAAAAGTTACACACAGCATGAGGACAGAATGTTATTAAAAATGAATTCTGAAAACCTGGTCATGTAAAAAATATGCAGCAAATTTCCTGAAGTGAAGGATCATTTGTATAAATCACTCATATAATTCAGCACAATTTCTTAATCAAGTATGTTCACATGTATATTAGAATTCATTGCAGACTTTTAGAGGACGCACATACACATGCATGTTGTTTAGTTATTATGAGTGACAAAGAGCTCATTCTATTTAACTTTCCATTCAATTCCCCAAACCTGGGGACTAATGCATTTCTTTATGGTTCTTTCTTTCTTTCTTTTTTTGGGGGGGTCCAGTCGTGGGGCCTGAACTCTGGGCCTGGGCGCTGTCCCTCAGCTCTTCAGCTCAAGGCTAGCGCTCTACCACTTGAGCCACAGCGCCACTTCCGGCTTTTTTCTTTTTTGCTTATGTGGTGCTGGGGAATCAAACCCAGGGCCTCATGCATGCAAGGCAAGCGTTCTACCACTGAGCCACCTTCCCAGCCCCATGGTTCTTTCTCTTCTCTCCCTCAGTTGGAATGCAAGGTGAAGTATTCAGAGGGGCTCCATTATTTATACACTGCCTATAGTCAACCTACTAACCAGAACATTCCTGACTGATGATGGGGGGGGGATTATGAACTAGAAAATGCCCACATTGAAGATGTGTGGGCCAACTAATTTATGAGTTTGACCTGAGGCAGCCCTGGAGATTTGGTTTTGATTAGCAAAAGCTTAGGTTTAGGAATCCAGGACCCATGGCAGTGAGGCCATTTCTGCCAAACCTAATTTAGTTTCAAAGCATTCCTCCTAGAGACAAAGGATACCTAACTGCTCAAGCACTATCCCATAGACTGGCTTGGAACTTTCTTAATGTAGAAGAGAAGGGGGAGAGGTAGGGAGACATGGAGATGGAGAGGGGGTGGTGGTGGTAGGAGGGAGAGAGACAGAGACAAAGACAGAGAGAGACAGAGACACAGAGACAGAGACACAGAGGGACAGACAGAGAGAACATGGCCTGATAGCCAGTGGCCCCTTCTGATTTTGGATGCAAGTTCAGTTCATTGAAGGCAGATGTATATTAGAACACTTTATTTTTCACCGTGGAGTCCAGCTCCAAACTTCACCATTGTAGTATGTGGAGAATAAAAGCATGGCTTAGGAGACTGCTTCCACTGGCTTGTGGTTTGCTTCTTCAAGACAGACAGAGAACAAGTGAGTGATCCCCAGCTGGCACTGTTTTCTGCCTCTCTTACCAGCAAATCTAACTGGGAAATTACCTCAGGGTTTGGGAATTACAAAACTAAATGGCAAGATACTGGAAGTTCAAAGAAATTCACCATGAATCTTTGAAGTAAATATTCCAAGCAATTTAGTACTCAGTAACCAAAAGCAAACTGTTGGAAACACATCTTCTATGATTAATGAAAATTATTCTCAGCTTATTAAAGTCAGAAGAGTTTGCCTTTTATCTTAGAACGCTGCTTACTTTGAATTCTAGGGAGCATTTTGTTTTGTCTGTGAGATGTTTACAGGGCCTCATCACTGGGAGAAGTTACAGTTGAAGCAAGGCTATATTAAAAAAATAAAGGCACTGTATTTATAAATTAAGAATCTGTCACTATTCAATATTCTTTAGTTTCTTGCATTACCTGCTATTTGCTGTCTATAGCCTTCCATCAAGGATTGAGGAAATAAGTATGAATGGAGATCAAACTATAGGAGAACTCTTCGGTTGTTTGTCACAATTAGACAACTGAATAGCCATGCAAAAAAAATAGGCAAAAGGGAACCCTACTGCATTGTTGGTGGGAGTGTAAACTTGTTCACATGCACACACACAATGGAATTCTATGCCTCCATCAGAAAGAATGACATTGCCCCATTTGTTAGGAAATGGAAGACTTGGAAAAAAATTATATCAAGTGAGGTAATCCAGGCCCAAAGAAACATAGGTCCCATGGTTTCCCTTATTTGCAATATCTATTATATGTCTGGGACAAGCAGAAAAGGTCAAAAGCTATGTACATATGACCAGATAAGAGGATGTTAAGCGAAATGAACCCTAATTGGGACACAAGTGTTTTTTTTCTTTCTTGCTATTGTTTCTAACATATTTATAATGTACCATGTGATTTTTTTTTGTTTCTTTGTATGTTCCTTTCCTATGGTATTACCCCTATTTTCACTGTATTTGATGTCAGTGCCCTGTATCTTGTATATACACTTCTCTAATTTGGGGAGAGGAAGGAAAAAAATCAAAATGCTTAAAAAGGGATACAGGTTGATCCATGGTAACAATGAGATGTACAAGACACTATGTTGAAAAATGAACTTTACAATTTAGGTGGCGGGAGGGGGGTGGCGGCGGGAAGGGTGTGTAGTTGTGGAGGTGGGAGGAAGGGATGGTAGGGGAAAAACAAAGGAAGAGGCAACAATGCTTAATAGGAAATGTACTCATTACCTTGCTCATGTAACTATAACTCCTCTATACAGGTTTTTTAAACAATAAAAAGTATTAAAAATAGGCATGTTTAAAAACTATTCCTACTAAATATTTTAGGAGATTGCAACACAAAAAGAAACTGGACTTTCATACTCACCAAGATGCAAAAAAAGGCTCAGCTGAAATTGCATTCTTTCTTCAGTAAATGAGTAAATTCTATTACGCTAGGTTAAAAAAAGACCAAGGTCAGTCACTGACAGAACCAGTCATTGGCACCTACACATACTCTTTGACAGCTGTCAAATTTGTCTAACGGTTTTTAAGGATAAGACACAAAATGTCTACAACATACAGTTCCTTAAGAAACAAAGATGTATCAGATGTTACAAATATTTGTTTGTTATTTCTGTTTACCACTTTTGACAATACAAAATTAAATAGTTTCTAAGAAATAATATAAAATGCAGAGCTGGCTGCTGGTGGTTCACATCTTCAATCCTAGCTACTCAGGAGGTTGAGATCTGAGGATCCTGGTTCAAAGCCAGCAGGGGCAGATAGTCCCTATGAGCCTCTCAACTGCAATTAATCACTCAAAAACCGTAAGTGGAGCTGTGATTCAAAGTGGTAGAGTGCTAGCCTTGGACAAAAGAACTCAGGGATAGTGCCAAGGTCCTGAGTTCAAGCCTCATGACCAACTAAAAACAAATGCAATTACTTTTATATTTTTAATTTTAGTCTATTTTTGCCCATTTTGTTTACAAGTGTTGGGCACTATCCCTGAGCTCTTGAGCTCAAGGCTAGCACTCTACCATTTGAGCCTCAGCGCCACTTCCTACAAATTTATTTCCTTCCTTCCTTCCTTCCTTCCTTTTTTCTTCCTTCCTTCCTTCCTTCCTTCCTTCCTTCCTTTCTTTCTTTCTTTCTTTGTCAGTTGTGGGGTTGAACTCGAGTTGGGCACTGTCCCTGCTCTCTTCACCTCAAGGTGAATGCTGTACCAGTTGAGTCACAGCACCACTTTTGGTTTTCTGGTGGTTAATTGGAAATAAGAGTCTCTTGGACTTTTCTGTCAGGGCTAGCTTTGAACTGTGATCCTCGGATCTCAGCCTCCTGAATAGCTAGGATTACAGGTGTGAGCCATCGGCGCCAGGCTTACAAATTTATTTTCTAAGAAACTGAACAATTAATACACACTCATTATAGAAAAAAAAAGAAAATTCGGAAAAACAGGCAAAAGGATTATAAGCATGAACCATTGGTACCAGCTAAGGCTCAAGTGTGTGTGTGTGTGTGTGTGTGTGTGTGTGTGTGTGTGTGTGTGTGTGTGTGTGAATGAGTATGCATGTGTGTGTGCCTATCGGGGCTTGAAAAGATTCAGGCTCTGGGTTGCTGAAGGTAATTAAGGTTCTGGATGGGAAATACCATGTTATTCATCCTCCTTTTTCTCCCATGGGAGATCCATTCATAGGGGAGAGTCTAAGCTGAATGATGCTTGCCAACTATACACCATGGGCCAAATTCTCCTCCTGTGTAAGATAAGAAGGATGAAGATTGCAGAATTCCAAAAAAATGTAAAAAGGGTTGGAATTGCAATGCTGAGTACAGGAGGTTAAGAGAAAGTGGAAGAGGGGCTCTTGGACAGCATTTCCTGCAACAAAGCTTCCTTCCCATCACAGTTCCTCATTCTCTGAGGAAGATGAACTTCTGAGAATCTTTTAGTTTGTCTGAGAATTATCATCTTCAAGAATAATAAACACTGGTACCTGGTTGTATCTTAAGCATTTTAAAAGTATATAGTTCTGTGGTGTTAAGTACATTTATATATGTATGACCAAAACACTTTTGATCTCATAAAACTGAAATTGTTTAGGCATTGAACAAGTCTTCATGTCCTTCTCCCCTGTTGCCCTTGGCAACCATTGTCCTATTTTCTGTGTGGATTTGGTCTCTCTAAATATCTCATATAAGCAGAATCTTGTACTATTCATCCTTCAGTGACTGGCTGATTTCACTTAGCATAATTCATACTTTTTGTGTGTCTTGGGTCTTGAACTCAGAACCTGGGCTCTGTCCCTAAGCTTTACCACTGAGAGCTAGCACTCTACCCACTTGAGCCACAGCTCCATTTCTTGCTTTACTAAGAGTCTCCCTGACAGACTTTCCTGCCTGGGCTGGTTTAGAATAGTTATTCTCAGATCTCAGCCTGATGAGTAACTGGGATTACAGGCATGAGCCACTGGCACCCTGAAACATGTACTTTTATACATTGAAAGTGATAGTTACCACAGATATCAACTTTCCCTTGTTTGTCTACATAATACATATTTTGTATGTTATATCAGGAATCATTAGATAGTTCAATGTTATTTTTCTTGCCTAAACTGCATCATGGTGAGGGATGCAGAAGACAGTGCTACATGTTCACTTTTGTTTCAATTACAATAGATGCATGCTCTTCTTAAAATAAAATCTTTATACGTATGTAGGACATTAATAAAAATACTTTTGAAAGATAAATCATTCAGGAGAATTGAGCCCTCTCCTAAAGGGTCACAAACTATATCCCCTTAATAACCATAAACATTGAGACATAAAACGAATGCATGCCAGCACTAGTCATTTGAAGCTTCTCAAGGGCAGGAAAGCTCCGGTCGGGGGTTGCTCTTCACCACAAATCAGTTTCCATCTAGATATTGTCCTTATGCTGCAATAACCTTGCGAATGAACATCATCTGATCATTGTTCTGTAAATATCATCATTATAAACAATTCTCTAATATATTATATTCCTTTTTTTAACTTAATACTGATTCTCCATATAACTGAAAGTTGTGAACTTGCTGGTACCTTTTCTTAATCCCTAAAATGCCAACCTGTCTGTGAGACAGAGGGTGAAACTTACCGGGATTGTCGGGTCTGAGGCGGCACAGGCAGCAAACAGAGCATGTAAAGGCACACCTAAAGTGAGAGTCCTTTTAAGTAGAAAATATTCTCCCTGAGGCACCTCTGAGTAGGAAAAAAAAAGAGAGGGATTCCAAAATCTGCCAACAAAGGTGATTTGTGAAGCTGTCTTAGGTTGTGACTTATATACACCCTGAATATTGACAGAGACCATGTTTTTTCTAATACAGAGATATTTTGTTTTCTAGGTTTTTTTTTGCCTTGTGTTTTGACAGTTAATTTTTTCATATGTGCATAAATTACATTTTAATCAATTAACTCTTATTGCTATTGCTCTACCTTTCCCTGAACCTCCTCCTCCCCAATTGTTTTAACTATTTTCAGTGAAATTCTTTGTTTGTGGTCATTTTAAAATATCTTGATACTTAAGCTAAATTAGAGGTTCCAGTGAAACACTTCTTTTTGCAATGGTCTGTCCAGTGCTAACTGGACACCTGCTGTTCTCTTAGATTCAGCAACTATACCATTGCTGGTACTACATACCTAAGTAGTTTGGACCAAACAATATGATTTGAAATTCCATTCTTCTGCTATGGACTAGAAGTGGAGCGAAGGCAGAATGTGAAACTATACTCCCCCATCAGGATGCCAAAGTGTCTGTATCCATCCCAAGCCTGTACAGTTTCAGTGGGTCATGTTATTGGTTGCTTGAAAAGATGTATTTGAGATTCCTAGATGTTCATGCAGCAGAGCATCTGATAGAAAAATAATTAACACCTCAGAAGTGAATTGAGCCAAAATGAGATATTCATTCAACACAATGAATTCCAGGGAATATTTACATATCAGGGAATAAAGTCAACATACATTCCCAAGCACTAATCTCCTGTGTCTTTAAGGTCTTTTCAGAGCTACTTTCTAGTGATTCTTGCCTGATATGTACATGGTACTTTGCTTTATTATTATTATTTTTTTGCCAGTACTAGGGCTTGAACTCTGGGCCTTAGTGCTGTCCCTAAGCCTCTTTGTGCTCAAGGCTAGCACTCCACCACTTGAACCACAAAGCCATTTTTGGCTCTTTCTAAGCTCTGATGTGCTCCTGAAAAGAAGCACTGTTTTTCCCAGTTCAAGACTAAGGGAGGGGGATGCTGTGCCAATATTAATCAACTAACTTATCCCCCCAAGTCCCAGGTAGCAGGAGACCCAAGGCAGTATACAGTTTTTAGGCCAAAACTGGAATAGGGGGTTTGAGTGATATTGAGGGACTTTTCAGTTGGTTCATTTGATGGGTTAGCAAGCTGTTTCTTCAGTCTAATACTATTATTTTCTTTTAGGCTTTTAAATTATTGTGCAAAACTCAAAAAAGGAGGCACTAAATCTTTATATATTTTATTTCAAACATTGGAATGCCATAGAAATCATTTTCATTCCTTTTGAAGTATGTACATTTAAAAGTCTTGCTGCATCCTTAAGTGTTTTTATCTTACCTTGAGGGTGTCTCCTTTATAAATGTATCTCCAGTTTTATAATAAAATTCAAAGTGACAACCTGGCTTGTGTTCCAGAAATTGCCTTTAAATAATAATGAAAGGTCACCATAGATTCTTTCCATGTAAACATGCTGCCTTGAGTTATCTGCTTCCAGCTTATAATGGCTTAACCTTTACATTTTAGGTTTAGGATAAGGATTAGGGATGGAACACAGGACAGGCAATTTTTCCAGAAAAGTAATGCTTCCATTGGAACAAAAAAAATGCCAGTGGGAGAGTGAATCAGAAGTATTTTCTCAGTGTAGCTTATTTTAAGCAATCTTGGTCTTTTTCGCTTTTCCAATAAGAAGAGAGCTTTATTGAAATTCCTGGAAAATCATATATGTTCATTTAATCACATTAAATGTATGAAGAAGAAACTCAAAATAATGTGAAAACTTACAGTCTTTTGATGACTATCTTTCCAGATCTCTCCTTTCTCTGTTTTGTTTTGCTTGTTCTCTCTCAAAACAGAGAAATAGAGGACAGGCTGAGGAAGCGAGGCAGAAGCAAATAATCACACTCAGCTGAACAGAATTCAAGCTCTTTTTCTTAGTCATAGGAACTCCCAAAGGGGCAACTTTCATTAGGTAGCTCACATCACACTTCATTGGTTCTAACTCTACAGTTCAGTGCCTTCCTGGAAACTAAAGTGAAATGTGGGGGAAGTGAATGTTTCTTTCTCAGGACAAGGTACTTTCTGCAAAGGCAGCCTGAGGAACCTTTTTTTCTAAACAGGGGGACAACCCTACTATGGCCTTGCTC